GCGTCGTGAATAAGTGTTCACGGAACATCAGTCTGGAGGTTGTGGGTCTTGGTTCTCGAGGAGTTTGGTCTGGTGGGAGGGCACAGACGGGGTAAGTGGGGTAAGAGAGAGGTGTGTTATGGGGAAAGGAAAGAGGGAGGGCTTCACGACTTGAGGGACGGTTGGGGAAACTTGCGTGTGGGAGGATAAAGAGAATCTGCACTTTGGAAAAGGCTGGGGAAGGAACACCTGGCAGGAGGACGAGTGACGGCAAAGGCAGAGAGGTGGGATCAGTAAGCAACCCTGTATTTGGCACATGGGGGCTGGCACGACAGATGCCCGGTGTGTTGGTGCCTGAAGTCATGGCTGGAAACTTGCGGTTTTGGGGGGGATGGGGGTGCCCCCTGCACTGACTCCACACCTGTTTTTCCTCCACCACAGGACCGCAGCCTGACAGGCAAGCTGGAGCCGGTGTCTCCTCCCAGCCCCCCACATGCCGACCCGGAGCTGGAGCTGGTACCTCCACGGCTCTCCAAGGAGGAGCTGATCCAGAATATGGATCGGGTGGACCGCGAGATCACCATGGTAGAGCAGCAGATCTCCAAGCTGAAGAAGAAACAGGTGCGTGTGGGTGGGGCAGTGGCGGCTCTCAGCTCCCGATTCAGCAGCAGCTGCCGCTGAGAAGATAACAACACTAGTAGTTATAGCAGTTGCGAACGTGTGCTGAGCACTGCCCATTGTACTGGCTCATTTTTATGCCCTTTACGTTTATTGGACAAGAGAGCTGTTTTGTGTGGTGCTGTCCGAGGGAGCTTTCTGCAATGACGGAAATGTTCTAGATCTGCACTGTCCACAATGGTAGCCACTACCCGTATGTGACTGTTGAGCCCTTGAAATGTGCCTAGTGCAGCTGAGGAACAGAATTTTTAATGTCGTTGAACTTGAATTGAAATGAAATTTACACTTGAATAGCCACATGTGGCTACTGTACTGGGAGGGCACAGGAACGATGGGTTGGGAGGTCAGCATTTACAGCCAGGCTGTCCAGACATGTGGGGTGGGCAGTTACTTCTCTGTGCCTCAGTTTCCTCATCCATAATGTGGGGGGAAATATCACGTGACTCTGACCCTGGCTCTGGAATCTCTATGAGCTGGGCCTCCTAACTCTGCCTTGGAACATTCACCTCTCTGAGCCTCGGTTTCTTGTCTGTAAGATGGGCACAGATATGACACCACCTCATAAGGTTGTGAGGGGGGAACAGGGTCATGTGGTGAGAAGAAGTCCTCGTTGTCACTGTCGAAACCAAAGAAAAGTTAACGTAAAGATTAATAATATTAACTTTACAATTTTATTTTTAATATTAATTGATAGAAAGTTAGTTGATAATCTGCCTTTTCCTGGGTCTTCTGCTGCTTCCCTCTGTGGCATCTTCAGGTGTCTGCTCAGATGTCCCTTCCACAGAGGGACCCGCCCTAGCCTTTACAGGAGTCCTCATCCCCAGCCATCCTCTACCCTGGGGGTCAGCAAATCCAGCCAGATCCAGCTCGGTGCCTGTTTTTGTAAATAAGGTTTCATTGGCACACAGCCACGTCCATTTGTTTACACATCATCTGTGGCTGCTTTTATGATACAGCCGCAGAGCTGGCTGGTCACAACAGAGACTGTGTGGCCAACAAAGCCCAAGATATTTACTCCCTGGTCCTTTACAGAAAAAGTTTGCCACCCCTGCCCTAGCCCGTTATCCTGCCTGATGGTGTCACCATTTGAACTAATACATATCTTGCTCTGTGACACTGTGGTCGTCTCACAACAATGGTGTAAAAGCAGAGTTCCTGTCTCCTGTTCCCTGCTGTGCTCCTAGCAATGCCAGCACGTAGTAGGTGCTCCTTAAAAACTGTGGACTGAGATAGTGTGACACATGTGTTGACCCTGGGGGAAGCAGGGTCACACCCGATCCCCTCCAGGTAAGGATGTATGGGCTCCATAGAGGATCAAGGACCCTCTCTGGCCACCACGGGCAGTAGAGGGAAGGCTGGTGAGAGATGCTTCCCGGAAGCCAGTTCAGGGCTATGTGAGTGGAATTGGAAAGATGTGCAGTGGGAGGGAGCATTGATTCCAAGAGGCCTCGGGGCTGTCGTTCGCATGGGGGGACCTGAGGATGGTCCAGAAGCTGGACTGGTCAGTGAGGCTCGGCCAGCTGTGGGTGGTAGGTGGGTTTCCAGGATGGCAGCTCAGCATGCAGTGGGGCTGGGCCCCGGTTTGAGTCGGGCAGGCGTTGCCAAGGCCCGTGGAGTGCTGGGACCTTTAGTCCCCCTGGGCCTGGCTTTGGGCCCAGGCTGAAGCCACAGGCCATGTGCACACGTTTGTGACTGCAGCCAGAAGCCACGTGGCTCAGGGCAGCCCTCGATAGATTTTTGGGTTTTAATTCCACTTTGGCATTTTTCTTTTTTAACTAAAATCCACAAAACATAGAATGACTCATTTTAAGGTGAACAACCCAGCAGCATTTAGTACATTCACAGCGTTGTACAGCCACCCATTCTATCTAGTTCTAGTTCCAAGACATTTTCATGACCCCAGAAGGAGGCCCCGTACACATTCGCAGTCACTTCCAGTTTCCTTTCCCCACCAGCCACTCATCTGCTTTCTGTCTCTATGGATTTGTCTGGACATTTTCTATAAGTGGGATCAAACACTGTGTGGCATTTTGTGTCTGGCATCTTTCACTCAGCATCATGTTTTCAAGGTTCGTCCATGTTGCAGCCTGTGCCAGTGTTTCATTCCTTTTACTGCCAAGTAATATTCCACTGTATGGATGGATGGACCACATTTGTTTATCCATGCATCAGTTGATGGACGTTTGGGTTATCTCCACCTTTTGACTGTCGTGAACCACGCTGTGAACTTTCGTGCTCATGTTTCTGAGAACCTGTTTTCAATTCTTTGGGTCTGTACCTAGGGGTGGAATTGCTGGGTCCCATGGTAACTCCGTGTTTAACGTTTGGTGCCTCAGGGAGGGCCACCTTCACTGACTGGCGAGAGTCTCCTTTGTGGCTATGTATGCCTTCCGTTTCTTGGCTTAGTTTGTTTTGCACTGTTTGGAGGGATTTCAGTGTTTTGCCAGGTGCTGGCTGCCCTTCTGAAAGCTACCAACAGGGGTCACTGTGGGACTGAGGCAGCTCGGCTCAACCCTCCAGGCCTTTGTGCCGGCAGAAGCCCAAACTGGATTTTCTGGCTCTTTCTGCATTACTCTCCTCTTGGCCGTGTTTTTGAGTTCATGATGGTTTGCTCCATGGTCATGGGCAGGATGGGTGAGCCTTGTGAGCAAAGAACAGTGTTCTCATCTCACTCAAGACGCCCTGTCAGATTGTACACCTGGGCACTGGCCTCCTGTGTGACCTTGGACCAGTGTCTTAAGCTCTCTGGTCGTTGCTTTGCCTTTTTGGTATAAAGCAGACAGCAGCATGAAGGTAAGTCCTTTATGGTGTTTGGAGGAGGAGGGTCCAGTATGAAGCCCGCGGGGCAGATGACGATAACGATGATGATGAGAAGCTGCTTTTTAGGTGCTGAGTGCTTTGCGTGCACCAGCTTGTTTAATTCTCATATCAACTCTCTAGGAGAGAAACTTTAATTATCCCCACTTTGCAGATGAGGAGAGTGAGGCTCAGGAGTTTAGCGAGCTCCCAAGCTTACATGGCAAGTAAGTAGTAGAAATAGTGTTCTTGTCTGGACAGTTTGGGTCCAGAGTCTCCACAGCCTCTCCTGAGGATGACGGTACTGATGGTGGAAATAATGGATAACGGCTGGCCTTCAGCGAGCCCCCAGTCTGCACAGTACATACATTAACTCATCAGGGAGGCACAGCCACGAGCCCCACTTTACAGATGAGGAAACTGAGGCACAGCGGAGTTAAGCTGCTTGCCGATGCTCACCTAGCTGATAAATCACCAAGGTTGGACTTGAACCCGGGAAGGCTGGCTGCAGAGCCTGGAGTTGGCCCTGGTTGGGCCCTCCCCTTTGGGAGCTAGGGCCTCTCTGGGGCTCGGAGTCCCTGCGGGTGACTCAGGGGAAATGGTTAGCAGCCTGACTTCCTGTGTGGGGCCACCAGCCCCGCTGCGCGGGGGTGCCGCCCTCCCGCGCAGGGGTGCTGCCCTCCTGCCCAGGGGCAGGGGGCGCTGTCTCTCCTTCCTCCTGCTGGCGTGCTCACCACTCCACTCTCCCCGCTTGCTCCCCACAGCAACAGCTGGAGGAGGAGGCCGCCAAGCCACCGGAGCCCGAGAAGCCCGTGTCACCACCACCCATTGAGTCAAAGCATCGCAGTCTGGTGCAGATCATCTACGACGAGAACCGGGTACGCCCTGACCTGCCCCGCAGAGCCCCTACACCACCTTCTCTTGCTCTCCCTGTGCCGGCCACCAGGTGGGATGCAGGTGTCGCTGTGAAGGGCCTCTCTCCCGGGGCCTTGGTGTTCCCATCTGTGAAATGGGAACCTGTATGACACGCCCCCCCGCCTCCCACAAACCTGGGTTTGTGTGTGGGAGGGGGAAAGGGTGGCCAGTGGAGACCCATCTTGGTGTGGCTGTGGTTTGTTCTGCTCAGACATGCCGACTGGTGGGGACCGTGGCTGGCCTGTGGGATGCAAATGAAAATGCAGGCATTAGGTCATAGGAGAGCTTCAGAGGCCAGTTGGTCAGTGCGGGGGGGGGGGGGGGGGGCAGGGGCGGGGGGGCCGCTCCGCCCTCAGTCACTTGGGGGAGGGAGCAGAATGCACGGCCCCACCCCTAGCGGGTTCCTGGAGGGGGGGGGGGGGGGGGGAACAGGCAGTCACTTAGGTACTCATGCGGAAGAAATTCCTGTAATGCAGAAAACAATAGTAATACTATTCATCACAACAGCAAACATTAGTTGAACAGCTCCTCCAGGCTACGGGCCAGGTTTTTTCCATAGCAGTCCTCAGAGGGTAGGTATGGTGATTGTTTCCATTTAACACAGGGAGAAATTGAGGCCCAGAGAGGTTAAGTGACTTGTCCAAAGTCACACAGCTGGGAAGTGGTGGACCTGGGATTTGAACCCGTGGGCCATCAGATCCCAGGGCCTGATTCGTCAGCACTGGCCTCTGCTTACATTTAGCCCTGGAAAGGGCTGTTGGATGGTTGAACGCAGGGTCTGTAGCAGACGGTGGGGGCTCATAGAGATCTGTGGAGGGCAGCTGCTGGGTGCCTGGAGGGGGAGGGGCTCAGGGCACCCAGAGCAGAGTGTCTCCCAGGGGCTGAACCCCAAGGCTTGAGCTGCTCCAGAGCCTGGGAACATGTGATTGGTGCCTAGGGCTATAGCTCTAGGCAGGAAGCTGTTGGATCAACTGGTTTGGCTCTGCCTCCACCTCTTGAAGCTACAACAGATGCAGGATGAGACTGAACCTGCTGGAGGCCTGGGAACTGTGTGCTGGGCCTTGCAGGGCTGGTCACCCTTCCATGCCCTGGTTCCCTACCCCAAATAACACTAATAACAATCACAATGATAGGAGAACTAAGGGGCCACATGTGCTTTAGCCAGATGTCCTGGGTTCAAATCCCATCTCTACCACTTCTTGGCACTGTGACCTTGGGCAAATTAATTAAGTCTCCCTGCAACCCACGTTCCTCACCAGTAAAATGATGATAATTATAGCACCTACCTTATACCATGGTGTGGGGATTAAATGAGTTCATTATGTAGTGCCCTTAGAACAATGCCTGGCACCATGTAGGTGCTAGCTGGCACTGTTAATTGTTGTCATTGTTGTAGTCTTTGTTACTCTGTTCTTCTTGTTATCGTTTATATTTTGCATGATTTCATTTATTCCTCTCCAGACCCATTTAAGATAGGTCCTATTATTCTCTCCATTTCACTCATAAAGAAGCCATGGCATTAAAAAAAAAAAGAAGCCATGGCTCAGAGAGGGAAGGTGACCTATCTGAGGCTGCACAGCAAGTGAGCTTTGAGGCTGGGGATCGGAACCAGGGTTGAGTTGGCTCCAGGAGCCCGTGGTAGGGGGGACAAAAGCAGAGCTCCTGGATCTGTCACCCCGGCAGCCCCTCTGCCTGGCCTCCCTGATCTTTGGGTGGGAAAGCAGGCACAGTTCCTTCCAGCAGCTGTGGTGGCAAGTTGATGGCCACAGTGCCCTTGGCCCTTTTTGGGGGCTCAGTCTTTTGGGGGCTGGCAGACTCTAGCAGGCTGGAGCCCTCAGCCCTCCCCAGCCAGACTCGAAGGCACAGGCCTTTGGTGCCCCCTGTGGGAAATTTGCTCCACGTTCCATCCCAGCCACTCGTCCCCACTTCCCTGGGGCTTTGCCTAAGCAGTAATTTGGGGGGTCCCCTCCGGGTCTCACCAGGTTCTCCCCAAAGAGCTATAGCTACAGATCTGATTGGTCTTTGGTTCCTTGGCCTCAGTGCTCCCCCTCCCCCAACAGCAGTTAAGACACCCCTTCCCAGGTCTTACCCTGGGTGGTCTCCCTGCCAGAATTCCCGCTTCCTCCTGCCCTGATTTTCTGCAGCTCTGTGTGAGGGAGGGTGGTGGGTGGGCCTGGATTCCAGTCCAGCCTGTGCCCTCATGAGCTGGGTGGTTTATTTCACTTCCAGGTCTTCCATCGTCCCGGGTCCTGGCCAAAGTCTGTTTTTTTTTTTTTTTCTTTTTTTAAATAAATTTATTTATTTCATTTTTGCCTGCGTTGGTCTTCGTTGCTGCACGCGGGCTTTCTCTAGTTGCGGTGAACTGTGGCTACCCTTCATTGTGGTGCGCGGGCTTCTCATTGTGGTGGCTTCTCTTGTTGCGGAGCACGGGCTCTAGGCGCACGGGCTTCAGTAGTTGTGGCGCGCGGGCTCAGTTGTGGCTCACGAGCTCTAGAGCGCAGGCTCAGTAGTTGTGGCGCACGGGCTTAGTTGCTCCGCGGCATGTGGGACCTTCCCGGACCAGGGCTCGAACCCACGTCCCCTGCGTTGGCAGGAGGACTCTTATCCACTGCGCCACCAGGCAAGTCCCCCTGGCCACATTCTTGAGGCCACAGAGTTGATGTGGCTGAGACGGTGACTGGAAGGGCTTTGTAAACTGTGAAGTGCTGTGCCAGGAAGGGTCCAGGAAGTCAAGGTTCTTGGGTACAAGAGGCAAAAACTCAGCTCAGACTGGTTGAGGCTAAAGAGGGGGGTTATTGAGTCTCGCGATGAAAGTTGATGTTAGTTTACTTCAAGTATGTGTGGACTCAGGTGCTCAAACGAAGATGTTTGGGAACGCTCTGTCCCCACCTCTGCTCTCTCTGTGCCAGTGTCATTCCCAGGCGGGGTTTCCCAGGACATGGAGAACTGACTGCCCGCAGCTCTAGGCCCACTGACCCCTCCCAGGCCAGGTGGGAAACTCTTCCCAGACGTCTCAGCAACAGTCCCAGGGTTGGCTCTCATTGGCTGGCTGGAGTCACAAGCCCACTTCTCAGCCAGTGGAGGCCAGTGGATTTGAGTACGCTGCTTGGTCAGGGCTGGATCGTAGGCCAACCTCTGGAGTCTGGTGGTGGAGTCAGCCCCATCCCCACCCTGCCCCAGGGAATAGATAGAGGAAGGGGGCGCTTCTACCAAGAGGAGGTCAGAGGCAGTGGAGCGGAGGCTGGCGGGGCCTATGCAGCCTGTGCCCCCGACCCTGGGCTGGTGCTTACCAAGTTGGGGTCCCAGAGCACAGGCATTGTCCTCTCTCCCCCCCCGCACCGCCTCAGGCTGGGGGCTTTATGCCCATTTATGCTGATTTCATCCTGATGGGATTCTGACAGTAAGTGGGCATCACTGGCCTCCCCTCAGCACCCCTACTCCATATTTTCAGATGAGGAAATAGAAGCCCTGGTTAATTTCCCCACGGCCTTTCAGCTAGTGAGTGTCGGGCTAGGACTCCAACCCTGGTTCCTGGGATTCTGAGACCAGGCCTCTGCCTGGTAAGTTCAGTGCGCAGGGCACATCACACTTATCCTGTCCATTCATTCATTCATTCAGCAGCCATGTAACTGGACATCTGCTCTGGGCCTGCCACTGTTCCGGGCACTGGGGGCGCAGTGGTGACTGGCCCCAGCCCACTCATGTTGGCTTTCTGATGGGGGAGACGTAATCACACTCAAGCCACCACATGCAGGCACAACGAGGGCCTGAGGAAGGTGCCCCTCCTGGTCCCGATCCCCCTTCCTTTCATCTGCTGCCTCACTTTGCCCCAGCCCCGTTGATGCTTGTGCTTCCTTGACTATGCAGGCGTGCCCTTGCCTCAGGGCCTTTGCACTGGCTGCACCCTCTGCCCGCAGCTCCTTTTTCCCACTGGGCTCACTCTCTCACTCTTTCAGCTGTTTGTTCAAATGTCCCCTTTTCAGCCAAGGCCCATTTTGACCCTCTGTTTAATCCTGAAAACCGTCAACACCTCCTCTCCCTGGCTTTAATTTTGTCCTCTGCCCTTGTTCCCACTGGACATAATTCATATTTTCTTGTTTATTGTGTTTATTGTGAACAGAGGCTCTGTGAGGACAGGGATATCTGTCTTTCTCTACCAGCTATATCTCTAGCACCTAGAACAGTGCCTGGCACACAGTAGGTGCTTACTAAATGTCTGCTGAACAAATGAATGAATGGCAGAGGGTAGGGAGACTCTTCCTCTGGAAGAGTCCTCTGGTTTGGGGGCTGTGGGGACTGGCCTCTGCCCCCAGTGAAGGTTGGCGGGGGTCCCCCTGCCTGGGCTGAGCCTCAGGGGCCAGAAGCCGAGTGGGCAGGAGCCCCTCAGATGCCTTGGGCAGGAACAGCCAGGACTTACTGCCCCTTGGGGGATCAATCGGATTAAATTTTAATTCTCCTTCCTTTCCTGCTGGTTCCTCTGAGAGGCGGACACAAGGCTGGAAAACGCAGCTTCCCTCCGGGCAGGGCCTGCCTGGCTATTCTGCAGACTGGGCTCTGGCTCATCATCCCTTCGGGGCACAAGGATGAGGCGTCAGCGCGCACAGGGTGGGGAGGGGGGGTGGCTGTCTGCGTGGCGGGGCCGGGCAGGTGCACACAGATGGCAGAACAGGAAACAGGGTTCTTCTAGGCCCCGAGGGGCAGGAACGGGCGCTGCAGGGCCAGGACTGGGAAAGGCCTCTTGGAAGCAGTGGGTGGGCCGTCGCCCCAAGGAGGGCATTCAGGCGCAGGGGTCACAGCTCAGGTGAAGGCTCACAGAAGAGACAGGGTCTCCATTGATCTTCAAAGGGAATGTGTCGGGGGTGGGAGGTGGAGGTCTGGTGGGGCTGGGAGGATGCTCACACTTTGAGTTTGGGTAAAACAAACACAAGCAGCATTTGTCAGCACTAGCGAAGGATGTGTAAAT